ACCCCCCCCACACACACTCTCTCTATCCCTCTCACTACTATCCGTACCATGGCTGCTATTCGCAACTCGGTCGAGTGCGGTGGCAATGGCCAGGCCAAGGCTGGGCTCGTCGGTCAAGTCCACCACCTGCTCTCCTGCCCATGTCGCCAAACGCAAATCGTCCTCTCGTTCCCTCCGCTCTCCCTCCGTTCACCCGCTCCTCCCGGTTTGCCCAGTTTGCTCGCTCCCCCCCCCCCCCCCCCCCCCTTCCCGTTTGCCCCTGGCTATTCGCTCGCTCGTTCGACTGCTTCTGCTTGACGACGGAGAGGCATTTTGATCGAGCTGTACACTAAAACTAGCCTCGGCTTGTACTTTCCAGATGATCCCCACCACATACGCTTGTGCGGATCAATCAAAGGGTTGATGGTACCCCCCCTCGTGACATGGATGCCCCATCGCTTATCGGTTGGCTGGTTGTGGTATGGCTGTGCTGTTAGGAAATCATTGTCAGACAAAATATTTTTCGGCTGGCCTCTCCCCCACGCATGCGTCTCGTGGGCTCAGCTCATTGGTGGGACAGCCAAGTCTCTGGGCGAGTCGCACTCGACTCGTATATCTGTAAGCAAACATGACGCCTCGATACGATGGTGAGAACATTCTCGCTGTCATCATGAGGCGCGAGGGCTCGGTCTTTTTCAAGCGCAACGTGCTGGGCGTATCGGCCGTGGCCACCATGGTGGCGCTTGCCACTTGCGCCATTGTCCTGCCACTCGAAGGCGTGTCTGACAGCGAGGACGACGCCGTCATCCGCCCGGAGCTCCACGCCATGGTCGGTTTTGGCCTCACCTTCCTGCTCTCGTTCCGGGCCTCGATCGCGTATGGACGGTACTTTGAAGGCCTCACGGCGTTGACAAGCATGCGGTCTGCAGTGACCAATGGCATCTCCATGACACTCGGCGCCATGCCCAACACGCCACAGCGGCGCGACGTCATTCTCCTCTTCCGCATCCTCTACCAGTCGATGTCCAACGTGCTGCAGGGTACATGCGGCCTCGACTACCTCGCGCCCGATCTCATCGAGCCGGCCACCTCTTTTGGCCTCACCGTGGTCCCGCCGACCGAGTGGCCGTCGGTCGTCTCGTCGCTCCTCAACCAGCGGCTGCTGATCCAAGACATGGCCGCGCCGTCGCAGGAGGACGTCAAGCGCCTCAACTTTTTCCGCCACACCTCGAGGCTCTATGACGCCGCCTCCACCGCCATCGACGCCTTCCACTCAGGAACCCGGGTCTCGGCCACCCAGATGCCTTTCCCTTTCGTTCAGACGCTTTACGTCATCCTGATTGTTTTCCTTTTGACGCTGCCGCTTACTCTTGTCCGGTCGCTTGGCTGGCTCACCCCGGTTGCTCTCCTTCTCATCTCAGTTGCCTTTTCCTCGATTGACGCCATCGCCGCAGAGCTCGACGAGCCGTTTGGGACGGACGCCAACGATCTCGATCTCGATTTGGTCGAGCACGAGTTCCACACCACCATCGCCACCATGGTCGCCACTATCGAGGGTGTTGAGGACCAGTTGGCCGCAAACTACCGTGCCAACCTGCCGAACTTCGCGCTCAGCGGCGATGCCTTGACTGGCAAGGCGAACCAGGCTGGAGCCACCCATGCTGCTGCTGCCGACGCCAAGCCAGCGCCACCAACCACGCCCATGACACCGCATCGTGACCCGCTCTCGGAGTTTACTGATGACGGATCCATGTACGAAGAGTACGACGATTTCGCCTCGGTCTCCACTGGCGCCCACAACGACTCCCACGTTTAGTGGCGCCATCGGCCTCCCGCACTTGTCCTATGATGCTCTGGCCCGCCAACATTGCTCCATCTTGCGCCAACTCCAACCCGCACCAAGCCGCGCCACAACCAGCTCCGTGCTGCTACGTGGCAAACCGGCACCCACGTGGGTTCGCGCCTTTTGAGCGATGTTTGCACACGGCCTGCAAGGACGAAGCTTCCTGTCCACGCGGGTACGCTGAATGAGCCACACTTCACCCGCACATACCTCCCGTCCACCCCTCTCGTACATATTCAACCTTACACATACACAACATGCACATGATTCCGTTGTACAACGCCAAGAGCATCCCCTCGGTTATTTTTCGCCGCAAAGGCTCAGTCTTTTTCTCGTCACGCGTCTTGGGCGTCACGGCGGTCTCCACACTCGTCGCCATCGCCACCTGCCTGGCAGTCCTTAACACGGCTGGCGCCAGTTCGGACGATGAGCAAGCGCTCATCCGACCCGAGCTGCATGCCCTTGTCGGCTTTGGCCTCACCTTCTTGCTCTCCTTCCGGGCCTCGATTGCCTACGGATGCTACTTTGAGGGCCTCACCGCGGCGACGGCAATGCGAGCGGCGGTGACCAACGGCGTGGGCATGGCACTCGGCTCGTTGCCAGACACCGCCCAGCGCAGCGACATTGTGGTGCTCTTCCGCATCCTCCATCAGTCGATGTGCAACGTGCTGCGTGGCGTCACCGGGCTGGACTACCTCGCCCGCGATCTTGTCCAACCGGCGGTCGACTTTGGCCTCGCCGCCGCGGCGCCCCAGACCTGGCCAGCAGCCGCAGCGGCGCTCATCAAGCAGCGGCTTCTCATCCGCGACTTGGACGCACCAACCGATGCCGACTTGAAGCGCATCAACTTCTACCGCAACGTCTCGCGGCTGTACGACGCAGTCGGCACGGCGATGGAGGCGTACCTTGCCGCTTCGCGGGTCTCTTCCACCCAGATGCCGTTCCCGTTCGTCCAAGCGCTCTACGTCATTCTCGTAGTCTTTCTCGTCACCCTTCCGCTCACCATTGTCCGCGCCCTCGGTTGGCTCACACCTGTTGCCCTCTTTATGATCTCGGCGGCGTTTGCGTCCATCGATGCCATCGCCGCCGAGCTCGACGAGCCTTTTGGCGACGAGGCCAACAACCTCGATCTCGGCCGCTCCGAGGCCGCCCTTACCGACGACATCACAACCATGACTCTCGCCGTCAAGTCGGTCGAGTCGACGCTGTACACGCGGCTCAAAACGCAGTCCAAGCCACTCACACCCACACCTGCTCCTTTGCCAGCAGACCTTGTCGTGCCCATGCCGACGATCTCTTGCCCAGACGCCAGCTCCGGCGGCGATGAGAGCCATCTTCCCGTCACGCCCATCACGCCGCACGAGTTGACCTCCCAGCCGATGCACTCGGACTCGTATGCCCCGCGCGGTCTGACGTCTTCGCTCTCTGACGTACAAACTTCGGTCTCGTCATCATCCTTCTCCTCCTCCGGCCTCGGCACCATCCTCGAGGTCTGACTGCCGTCATCAGTCCGCTGGCTCTGTCTACGGCCTTTTCCTGCACATACCCACGCTATCCACTTGCGGATGCGACAGGGATCAAAGCTGTTGACAGGGACCTTGCCAGCCTGGATTAACCCTTGACGGTACGGTCGTTCGGACGCGTTGTACGCATTGTCGCGCGTCCGAACGAGTGAACAACGCGATGATGCTCGGCTTCCAGGTCACCGGCCGACGCTGCGTGACGCTTGCTTGGCCTGCGGCTTGAGGTGGGAGGCGCGCCCGTACGTGATGGCGGCCGAGACGTAGATGCCCGCCTGACGCGAGCCCACGCTTCGCCATGACTCGCGTGGCTTTTCTGCGACATCATCGACGCCCTCGCCGCCAGTGCCGACGCCGTCAGCTCGCGCCCTCGCCGCCAGCGCCGACGCCATCAGCTCCGCGCCGTCACGCAAGCGGAAGCGTCCCTCTGCAGCGGCAGCTCGTCTTCACCACTTTCCCCAGCGAGCCGCTCTGCGATGCGACTGCCTCGCCTGCCGGAAGCTTCATGGGAAGCGATCGCGGCCGCGGACCTTTCGCGCCGCGCACGGCGTCCATCTCTGCATCGCCGACTGTTTTCTGTTGTGGCCCACATGTGGCCACAGCAGCCATCAACACACTGTACTATTCTCACCCCGCGATTGATGGGCGTTGCGACGTCTGTGGAGCGTCGCGGAGCGCGGCTTGCGCGATGGACACGTTTGTCCATTCCGCACCGTAAAGGATTAGACGTCATCCGAGCATGGTGCGGTGGAGTCAGCGGCCGGCAGCGGGGAGGGAGGGGGGGGAGGGAGGGGGGAGGAGGGGGGGGGGGCGGCGGTCGGGAGGCCACTCCTCCCTCAACCCGTCGTACATTACATATGAGTCAGACCCATACACCCACAAGAGGGGGAGGTGGTCGTGGCGGTGGTCGTGGTGGTGGTCGTGGTGGTGGTCGTGGTGGTGGTCGTGGAGGTCGTGGAGGAGGAGGAGGAGAAGGAGGCCGTGGGGGTCGTGGCAGAGGTCGTGGCGGTGGAAGCTCCAAGGGCAAGGGCAAGGGCAAAGGCAAGGGTAATGGCAGAGGCAAGGGCAGAGGCAAGGGCAGGGGCAAGGGCAGGGGCGATCGGGGTGGTGGTCGTGGTGGTGGTCATGGTCATAGTGGCGGTGGCGGCAAGTCGGCATCGGGCAAGTCGGCATCGGGCAAGTCGGCGTCAGGCAAGGGATCAGGCAAGGGATCAGGCAAGTCGGCGTCGGGCAAGGGATCAGGCAAGCAGGGCAGTGGTCAGGGGCGGCGTCATCGGCCAAAGAAGCTGAATGCCAAGGCACAGGCCGAGGCGCTGGCTCGGGCACAGGAGGATGCAGAGGCCCGCAGGGCAGAAGAGGCGGCACGGGCGGCAGCGGCCGAGGCCGAGGCTGCTCGAGCGGCCGAGGCGGCACGGGTGGCAAAACAAAATGCCGACCGTGAGTGGGTGGCGTGGCGTCGGGAGCTGTATGCTGCAAACTCGGCGCCGGTTGACCCCGAGGCGGCAGCAGCGGCCAAGACCGGCAAGAAGAAGGGCGCGGCGTCGGTGAAAGGCAACACGTCGTTTATCAAGAAGCTCCGGGCGTTCAACCTCGCCCAGCGCGACTCGCTCCTTGCCGACATTGACAAGCTCAACATGTCCAAGTTTGTGGAGGAGATCGCGCCGGTCTTCCGCGACATTCCGCTGGCATCACGGCCGGCACACCGGCTCGCGCTCGAGATCGCCACTGAGCTGCACAAGCGGTACTCGCCCAAGTTTGCCAGCTTGCTCGCGGACGCGCTCGTAACGGCTCCACAGGCTGGCAGCGCAGCGGGAACGTCGGGTGAGCCACCGGCGCGCAGCGTGGGCGAGACGCTCACCCTCCTCGCGTATCTCTTCACCGCCGGGATTGTGCCCAAGCTCACGCCGGTCCTCAACGGGCTCAAGGTGATCATGGCCGCCGACTGCTCGACGTCGCGCAAGTCGGGGTCTGGCGAGCCAAGCTTTGAGCATGCTGAGGTGCTCGCCAAGTTTGCCGAGACGTTTGGTGACGAGCTCATGGGCGTGGTACCAACCTCGCCACCGCGTGACGACTTTGTCCCGCTCTTTTCCGGCAGCAGAGCGGTGGCAAGCTACCTGCTTCCGGCCGACGAGCAAGGCGTGCTCCTCAAGATGTTCACCATCTACCACGGGCGGGCGGCAAAGCACCTTGTTCAGCTCCACGAGGCGCACCTGGCGGCAGGCACCGGCAGCGCGCCGCCGGCGCTCTACCCGCGGCTCTCGGCAGCGCTCTCGACCCTCTGTCGCTGGCTTAATTTGGCGTTTCCAGAGCTCCGGCCGCGCGAGGCACCGTCTGTCCGTGCCTCGACCTCGTTCGAGTACGTGCAGACAACCGGGCGGCGACGGGATCTCAACCGCGGAGACTACGTCGTCTTTCGCGATGAGGACTCACGCGAGTTCTACCAGTCGCTCCGCGACTTGCGCGCCGAGCTGCCAGCAGTTGTCTTTGGCGCTCCGTCGTCGCTCTTTGACGACGACTTTCCCCTTGAGACGTCGCCGGCGGCGGTGGCGGCGTCTGCGCCTGCGCTGCTGCAGGCCGCCGCGCCAAGCACGGCGTCCGAGTTTGAGCGGTTTCTCGTCTCGCTGGCCCACCCGCCGTCGACCCGTGACAAGCTCGACGCGCTCGCGCTCGGCTTCTGCAACCTTGCGGCGGCGTCGCGTGTCAAGCGTGCCGCGTTTGTGACCCACGTCTTTGGCCTGCCCAAAGCCGAGCACGAGCTCCGTCTTTATGCTCGCATCGTGGCGCTAGTCTCGGGCGCATGCTCGGACGTCGGCGCCTACCTCTGGCTCCTCCTCCGCAGCTCGATCGCCGAGGCGCTACAGGCACGGCTCTCGGCCGACAACCGCGATTTGTTTGCGCAGGCCCTGAGCAATGCACACTTTGCGGCACATCTGGCGCTGTTTGGCGTCATCGCTCCCACCGAGCTCCTCGCACTTGTCGAACTGGCCATGGCGTCGTTCGTCCCGCTCGGCGTCGAGGTCTGTGTTGCAGTAGTCGCGGGCGCCGGACGGCTGTTGTACGCGTCACCCGAGACGCAAGAAGCAACCGGCAGCGCCCTTGTCAAGATGCGGCGACTGGCGGGCATCGAACGGGTCTCCGAGTCTGCGGCGTCACGTGTCGAGGCCGCGTACTACTGCGTCCACCCGCCCGACTCGGCCATTCTCCTCAACGAGCGCGCGAGCCTACCGCCGGCCCACGCCTTTTTCGAGCATGTCATGCTCATGGTCCTCGCGCCCGAGACACTCGACGAAGTCGAGTCCCTCTTTCCGCTCTTTCCCTGGGGCGATGCCGACGACTTTTACCCTTACGCAGTCCGTGTCCTCTCGTCGGTGTGGCGGTTCCGTCACGCGGCGCTACCGGACCTCGCCGACCTGCTCTCGGCGCTAGTCTCCTCGCACGAAGCAGTCGTTGTGGACGTTATCGACGAGGTCCTCGCCATGGCTGTCGAGGCGCTCGAGACACCCTCGGCAGCCACGCACTTACAGCGGCTCTCGGCGCTGTACGCCTTTGTGGGACACTTGTTCAACTACGAACTCATTCCGACCTCGGCGCTATTTGACGTGCTGTATGCGCTGGTCACCTCGGGCCCGGGCGCGGTTGATCCGTACGACACTTCACGGGTCCGGCTTGTTGTCACTCTCCTCTCGGTCACCGGAGAGTACCTGGAGGCCGGGACCGACGGCGGGGCGCGGCTCGACGACTTTGCGCTGGTCTTCAAGCGGTTTGTGCTCACTCGTGCGCCGCTCTCGCTCGATCTCGAGCACGCGCTGCTAGAGCTGTTCGAGTGGCTCGGCATCGGATGGTCGCGCGAGCCAGCGGCGCTGGCCAGCCTCGCTGCCGACATTGATGCGCTCAGGCTCCGCCTCGCTCACTCGGGCCCGCTCTTTCGCCCACTTGCCCTCGACCCTGCGGTGCTCGAGGCCGAAGCCGCTGTCGAGGCCGAAATCGGCGACGGAGGCGAAGACGTTGGTGCCGCCTGGGTTTCTGACGAAGACGACGGCGAGTACGAATCGGACGACGACGACGAGGACGGAGACGACGACGAGGAAGATGACGACGACGAGGAAGAAGACGACGACGACGAGGACGAAGACGAAGATGACGACGAGGACGACGACGACGAGGAAGAGTACATCGACTTTACCGCGCTCATGCAGAGCTCGCTGATGCGCAACGAACGTACAGCCGACGACGACCTCTTTGACGCGCAGTTCGAGATGATGATGGAGGAAGAGATGGTGCGGACGGTGGGCGCTAAGACAAGCGGGAGTGGCGGCGGGGTGGTGTCCGGCTGGCGGACGCCTGTGGGCACGCCCACGTACAGTGGGAGCCCACGCGGTGGCAGTCGGGAGGCATTCCCCGCGCTCCCGAGTCGCGGGGCCATCGGCGGCGGCGACAGCAGCGGCAGTGGCAGCGGCAGCGGGCCCGACCGCGAGACGGTGACGAGCTTCCGGATCATGACGGGGGCAGGCGACGTTGGCACGGTCGAGCTGCCGGCCAATTCTGCGCTGCTGACCGAGCGCGAGCAAGCGGCGCGCGAGTCACGTGAGGAAAAGACTCGCCTCAAAGAGTATGTGCTGCAGTACGAGCGGACAGGATGACGTGATTAAAATCCAAGGTCGTCGATGCAAAGGCCGTCGTGGGCGAGCTGGACATTGAGGTGGCCGACCTCCTCGGCCAGCTGGGCGTTGATGGCGTCGTGGTCAAAGTCGTCGGTCATGCCGACAAGCAGAGTCCGCCCAGGTTGAAGGTCGGCGACAACATCGAGGGCTTGCGGGAGATTAAAGTGGGTTGGATGAGTAAAGTGGCGACGGAGGGTGTCAAGGACGAGGATGTCGATGCGCTGCGAGGTGATAAACTCGCGTGTCTCGTGCGGGATACGCGAGACGTCCGAGATGTAGACCACGCGGGTAGTGGCTTCGGAGCCAAAGATAAAGCCGAGAGAGATGTAGTCCTCGCCATGCATGACCGGAATGGGCATGATCTCCAGGTCGCCGACGGTGAACGGCTCCATGGGCGCGATGACGTTCCACGAGAGCTGGGCAACCTTGCGGGTCACGCCCTTGATCACCTCGGGCTCCTTGACAAGGTAGGGGAAGACCCTGCGCATGGCGTCCATGGTCCGCTGGGCGAGGAAGACCGGCGTCGGCTCGGGCTTGTACTCGTGCTCCATGACCTCGTCACCTCCTCCGGCGGCATCATTCTCTGCGGCAGCATCGCGATCGGCAGCCTGCGCCTCTGCATCCGTCAAAGGCGGGCCTGTGAGCGAGACCAGCTTGACGGGCGGCTTTGGGCACTTCTTGGGCTCGACACAGCGGAGATCATCCAAGCCCATGATGGCATCGGCATGATCATGGGTGAGGACGACAGCATGGAGACGATGAACATTGTGTCTCGGGAACCAGCGAATGGAAGCCTCTCGAAAGTGCTTGCCAGCATCAATGAGGACGGTGGTGCCCATGGAGGACTTGATGAGCAGCGAGGGATTGCATCGATAGTTTTTGTTCTCCTCGGGCGGTCCATCGTAGGCAGCCTTGCGGCAGACGGGACACGCCTCCTCGCCCAGCATGAGGCACGAGGCAACCGGGACTCCCGACGACGAGCCAGTGCCCATAAACACGATCCCCCCTCCATGACATCCCCCCCTCTCCCCATTCCTCGTCTCGGTCCTTGCTGTCGACATGCTCCCTGTCTCTCTCGTCGTCAAGTGCTCGTTCCCCCCTCCGTCGTCTCCGTCTCTGTTGCCGTCCGTCACCGTCGCTGACTCTGTCGCCGTCCCCGTCTCCACTGCCAACACCCTCGCTCACTTTCTCGATTGCCGACAGAGCGATCGCTTCGCAGGCTCGACAGCCTGAGAGATTCCCTCGCACTTACTGCGCCGGCCATCATTGTCAGTACATCGTGCCGATTGGCCCGGCGCACGCCGATCAAGGCCATCGGAGCTCTTGTCAGAGTACGGTACCATCCGCTTGGCTTTGCTCAGCCGGCCGCAAATGGTAGCAACTTGTAGCAGTTGCGACAGGTCTCTGCTATCCGCTGTTTGTCGGGGGCTTACCCACACTGTCTCGCATCCATCACACCCAGAGGTCGGAAGGATGCCGAGGTGCGGTGGATCGGGGGTGATAGAGGGAATGATCAGGGTGGCCCAGGGCAGGCGATGGAGAAAGAGGTGGTCATGATGGTTGTCTAGACCAAGAGTGATGGGTGGGGACGGTTGGTTTGAGCTGAGTCTGAGCTGAGTTTGCGCTGAGCGATAGCGACGGCGACAGCAATAGCGACAGCCACTGCTCGTGTGAGAGCAGGTGAGCTAGGAAGAGGGAGAGTATGCTGGCATGGGTATGGCATCCGCTTCCGAGGCGGGAGCACATGAGTCTGACCCTCTTTCTGGTCTCCTTCTACACTCTGGTCGGCGCGTACTGGCTTGTCCGCCCACTCAAAGTCGGCGTCTTTGTGGCTCTGGTCGGTCTCTCCTCAGAGCCGGAGGCCAAGCTCGGCACCCTGGTTGTCCTCCTCCCCATCCTACTGGGCTACAATGCTGCTGTTGCCCGGGTCACCGATATGAAGCGACTGGTTGCTGTGGTTGCCGGCGCTTATGCGGCCATCTTTGCCGCCATCGGCCTCGTCCTGCCCATCGCACTCGCATCGTCATCGTCGCCATCGCCTTCCTTGTCGGCGTCGTGGGCTTGGCTGGGCTGGGTCACGTACTGGGTCATCGAGTCGTTTGGATCGGTGTGTGTGGCGATGATGTGGTCGGTCCTCTCGTCAGTGCTGGCGTCGCGGCCAAAGGCGACAGCGGCGCATGTGTATCCGCTGGCAGTGGTGGTCTGCCAGCTTGGGGCCATCACGGGTGCGAGTCTAGCGACGCGGACCGCGTCTCTTGGCTTTGGGTTTATGTTCTTTGTCGGTGCTGCTGCAGTTGCCGGCGTCATCGTCACTTCGTCGGCGGCAGTGTCGTACGCTGCGGCTAGCGCGGTGGCAGCGCCAAGCGAGGCCGCTGAGGCCGGTCTGCTCAGTGGCGGACAGCTGGCGGCGCAGATCGAGACGCTCGAGGACAAGAACGCACCACAAGCAGCAGCAAGTGCGAGTCATTTGCCGCCGCCGCGCGGCGGGCGCGGCAGTGCGGCGCAGCGCAGACAGCGGCGACAGACCGGCCTGCTCGAGGGCTTGATCATCATCGGGACCGACACGTATGTCGGTGGCATCCTTGTTGTCTCGACCTTTGCCGAGCTCATCGGCACCATTCTCGACTACCAGATGAAGGTGGTGGCCAAGCGAGAGTATGCAACGCCCGAGGCCTTTGCCGGCTTTATGGGCTACTTTGGCGTGGCGGTCAACTCGATGTCGCTCGTGTTCGCGCTTGTGGGGACCAAGCGGTTCTTGGCCATGTTTGGCCTCCGTGCGGCGCTGCTGGCGTATCCCCTGGGGTGTGCATCGGTGGTAGGCCTCGTGTACCTCGCGCCTTCGCTTGCGTTTATGTTTGTGGGCATGGTTGCGCTCAAGGCGTTCAACTACTCGCTCAACAACCCGGCCAAGGAGCTGCTGTACCTCTCGACGACGCCCGACGTGCGGTTCAAGGCCAAGTCGTGGATCGACATGTTTGGGACACGGCTGGCCAAGGGCGTGGGTGCGTCGATCACAGCTCGGCTCAAGAACTCGACGGCGGCGCTCCTTGAGTCCGGCTCGCTGGTCTCGGCCGGCTTTGCGGCCGTGTGGATTGTGGTGGCGTCGAGTGTTGGGCGACAGTATGCACGCCGTGCTGTGGCCGGAAGCGCCAGCGGGAGCTAGAGCGAGTCGGAGACATCATAGCGCGAGGCGTAGGAGATGTCAGACCACATGGAGCCGAAGAGCGAGCCGCGCGAGGAGCGGCCGAGCGGGACGAGCGAGCCTGTGGTGGTGCGGCGGCGCGAGGCGCGCGGGGCGTCCGAGTCCGAGCCGGAGCCCGAGGTCGACGAGTAGCCGACGCACGACGACTCACCGGTGGAGGAGAAGCCGAGGCCAAAGTCGATGGCGTCGTCGGGGACGGCCGGTAGGTGGCCCGGATCATCGTCGTAGGCCGAGTCGTCCGAGGCCGTCGGCGCTTCCGCGGCGCGGCGGACTGGGTCAAAGTACTCGTGCTCGAGCGCGGCGGCGGCAGAGATGCGGCGTTCGGGATTGTAGGCAAGGGTGCGGCGGAGGAGGTTGAGGGCGGAGCTCGAGACGTTGTCGTGGTTGTCGTCGGTGACGAGGGCGCGGAACGACTTGACTTTGTGCGCGGTCCGCTTGACAGCGCCCGGCAGGGCGACGCCGACCGAATCGACGTAGGCCTTGAGCTTTGCGGTGCCCAGTAGCCGGGTGTATAGCACAAGTTGCTCGACGTCCGACTGCATGCCGGTGAAGAACGGAATGCGGCGAAATAGCATGGAGGCAAAGACAATGCCGGCGGACCAAACGTCGACGGCGGCGCCGTACTGGTGGATGTGCAGGAGGAGCTCGGGCGCCTTGTAGGGGCGGGTGCCCGGGAAGCGGGTAAACGACTTGCCCGGGCGGAGGAGGCCGGCGCAGCCCCAATCAATGAGACGGACCTTGCGACGGCCGTGATCGATGAGCACATTGGCCGGCTTGATGTCGCGATGGACAACACCGGCGTCGTGGGCATAGGCCAGGGCGAGGAAGAGCTTATACATGTAGGTTCGGATGTCGGTGTCGGAGAGGACGCAGTAGAGCGACTGCCAGCGGTTCTCGTCGACGTGCTCAAAGACCAAGTGGGCGACACCCTCGCGGTCGCGGACCGTGTCGTACAGCCGCACAATGTTCGGCCCGTCGTGGATCCGCAGCAGGGTGTTGATTTCCTTCCGGGTCCGGTTCCGCTCGTCCTCCTCCTCACGCATCTCCTTCAGCGCGACCGGCACACCAGAAGCCTTGTGCCAGCCCAGAAAGACCTCGCCGTACGAGCCCGAGCCAAGATGCTCACCGAAGCGGTACTTGGCGAGCGAGCCCCAGTGGACGGTAAAGGCGCCGTCGTCGTTGGGCTTGAGCACCCACGGCGGCCGCACCACCCGCAGCCGCGACTTGCGTCGCCGGGCCTTGGCCTTGCTCCGCAACTCTGCCTTTTTGGCCACCCGTCGCGCATTGCGTCGCCGCCGTCCCTTGCCCCGGCCAGCATCCGATCCCGACGCCGACGCCGTGGCCGTAGCCGTTGGCGATCTCGGCCGCGATCTCCGGCTTGCCGATTGTCGTCCGGTTGCAGCCCTGACCTTGGTCTTCGTAGCCGCCTTCTTCGCCTTGGTCTTGGGCCTTGACCTCGACTTGAGCTTGGACTTGGACTTGTCCTTGGCCATCTTCCGCGATCTGTCGGACCTGCTGCTCCTCTTCTTGCTCGCCGACCTTCTCCGGCTGCTCTTTCCTGCCCTCCCTACACTCCGCGACATGGGCGTGGCGGTATTCCTCCTTGACCTTCGACTGGAGCCATGCGCGGGCCATGACGACGATGACGATGATGATGACGATGATGATGATGATGATGATGATGGCATGGTGGGGTGGGTCGGGGCCTTGGGTGTGGGAGTTGTGGTTTCGTGGGGTGTGTGGGTGATGTGGCAGGGACGGGGGGTGGTGGTGGTGTGTGGTGGTGGTGGTGTGTGGTGGTGGTGTGTAGTGGTGGTGGTGGTGGTGTGTAGTGGTGGTTGTGTGTGGTGGGTGCGGGTGGCGGTCTGTGGTGGTTGGTGGCTGTCTCCGGCTCGGCGGATGGTCCGAGGTGATTCGGTAGTGCCAAACTGACAATGATTTGGCAACAGGGACGGGTTGGGGGTTGGGTGGGGTAGGGGGAAGGGGGGAGGGGAGAGGGGGGGGGAGGGGGGAAAGGGGGGAAATATGGGGAAGGGAGGAAAGATGGGGAGGGGGGAAGGGGGAAGGAGGGAGGAGGAGGCTGGTCATTCCAGCCATCGGTGGTCAGAATCAGGAGTCGGTAGCGAATTTTGTTTAATGTTTTCGCCGGAACGTTGCAACTGGGAGCTACTGCCAACGCCACCGGCCAGCGCTACGACCACGACGACAGCTACAGGCACATCCACATCCATCGCTCATTACTGCTCTTCACCTCTCCAAAGACCACTACTTATTATCTGAAATTCATCTCTGCCAGCTGAGGAAAGGCAATGGTGTTGACGCTGCTTGTTGCGGTTACCATTGCAGGAGCAAAGGGCGGCAAGTCGAGCAGTTACAGCAGCAGCAGCGGCGAGAGTAGCGAGGACAGGACGTATGACGACTTGATCGAGCACTCAGAGTGGGAGGGTTGGGATGCTACCGTGGATGATGACCGATATGTGTTCTTTATGGCCGACAAGGACTGGAGCTCGGGTTTCTGGCATGTCAAGGCTACGGTGCCTGAGGACGCCACACTGGCCCAGCTTACGCTGCAGATTCTGCGATGGAAAATCCGATACTACGTCAATCACAAAACGGTGATGCATCACAGCAGTACGACGACGTGGGAGACGAGCATGGAGGGCGTTCTTACCTTTATCAAGCCCAATGCAGCAGTCTTTGACTTTGACGAGGGCTTGCCGCCGCCGCCGGGCGCTCGCTGCTGCTGCTTCAAAGATTGCTCGGGCACGTACCATCGCCGCAGCTTCGAGGCCGATGTCTCAGGCACGATCACCCGCAACGGTAAGTCTGTCCGTGGCAAGAGCTCAAGAAAACTCAAGGCCGGTAACTACGACATACCCGTCCTGCTTCGTGATGAACGCGCCTAGTGCTGTGCCCAGCCGCGCCCGCGCCCGCGACCACGCATTGCCGCCGTACTCGGCCATTATCCGACCATGACCCTCCCCCAGCCCCCCGCCCCCCAACCACCACCACCAGCAGAATCGCCACCCCCAGCATGATTATCACTCGTCCCATCAATCACCAACCCCCCTCCAACCACCCCATCAACCACCACTCCCTTGGGCCTGACCCCCGCCCCCCCAACCCACCACCACCAGCAG